GTAACACCCCCAAATTTCTAACAATTTTTAAAACATTTTTTTAATAAATAAATAGTCAAAATTCACGTTTTATATAATTATGATAATAGAAATATTGCGGAAGCTAATCTAAAACTAATTTGGGGAAATATTACCGCTGCACTTGTACAGGGACAAATGTAAGGCTAACTCTAGCGCGATCCTTTGGAACCTGTTTCACTGAAACTCTGCTCTCCCGTAGGATCATTGCAGCAAACAAACACAAAAGTCAGCAAAGCTGATAATCTTAATGTAACATCCTGAGCGCTGATGAGGGCAGGGAGTGATCGCCGGTGCAAAGAGGCACAGACAAAGAGCGGCTCCTGACAGGCTTCCATTGGGGGGTTACATGCATGAATGAATCGAATCGACACCCGAAAGAGAGTGATTCCAAAGACTGTGCAGGAATGAAACTGTACAGTTTGGGATAACTTATAAGAATTAATTGGTACTACCTATACTAACAAGATGCATCTACTTTTCGGTAGCCTAGAATAGAAGAACTCCATAGTTAAGCGTGCTTGACTTGGGGCAATTCTGGGATGGGTGACCTTCTGGGAAGTTTTTTCGGGAAGTGTGCGAGTGAGGAAAAAGCACACTGAAAAGTCTCGTGTTAGTATGTGGGGATAGTCATTGATTCTTGAAGCGACCGGACGTTACACTTAATAAAAAACAAATATATAACTTAATATAAAAGATGAAATCAAATAACAACGGACTCAAATAATAATTCAATATGCATCATATATATATATGATTAAATCTATTATTATAAAATTATCTTATATCCCCTTTTGTTCCTTCTAAGGTAACTAACTAACTGTTCCCTGTTTCATAAAACAACAGACTAATTTATAATTGCAGTAAATATAACTCAGGAAACAGAGGCGAGGATGAGTGACGATCATGTGAATATAACTCAGGAACTAGAGACAACACTTATAAGAAGACAAGGAGCAAGGATGAAGATGAGGCCTGGGTGGCTGAGTGACTATGTGACTCATGCAAAGAGAAACTGAAGTCTAGACATGTGAAACCTGAAGAACCACGTGGATTGCATACACACTTACAGCACTTGTTGGGCTTATTATGAGGCCCAATAACTTTATTATAGGACTGAACAGAATGAATGATAAATAGGAGGGAAGTGGCATTTTCTTTTTTATCAAAATACTGGATAATTGATTTCAATTCTCTCTTTGTATTCTGGAGTTCACAGCATCCTCGAATTGCCGCCGTTATAGTAATATTCAGTGTTTCTATATTCCAATTGCTACGAACGCTTATGAACAGGCCTATAACATGCATGGATTATGGGTTTAACGGGTGATTCGTAAAACCAAATTCGGTTGTTAATACGTAATCGTTGAAGGAAGCTTAGCAGTTTGATATGAGTAAGGGGCAAAAAAGGCAAATTATGAATAAAGGGTAGTAAATAATCGAATAATTGTGAGTTTGTTGTAACAGAATACTGTTAGTTAGTTGGTGTATAAAAGGGAAAAGGGAATTGTGTAGAATGTTGTAAACCCATTTTCTGTTTGTAATAAACTAATCGTTCTCGCCTCTTTCTTCTTCTTAACTTTGCTTTTTTGTCATCTTCAATTTCTGTTATGCAAAATAGGATCCAAATCCTATCACGGTCACATGCTTAGTTTTCAGTGAGTGGGTAATGAAGTAGAAGTAGAAGTAGAAGTGTAGGTCTCCTTTCTTCATTTTGATATCGACAATGTTGGCAGGAGAAGAAGAAAAAGTGGAAAACATGCAGGTGATATTCAAAGGGTACATTGATGGAGTTGCTAAAGAGACTGATATGGAACTCAAGCTTACAAAAATTGAACTCAAGCTTCTCACTCAAGCTCAAGGCACTAGTGGTCTTCTTGTCAAGAATCTTTACCTTTATTGCGACCCATACGTGTGCGAAGTCGTACGCGTGATTTCGATGGATCTTATATCCCTTTTGTTCGTTCCGAGTTAACTAACTAACTAACTAACTCTTCCCCTGTTTCTTAAAACAACAGATTAATTTATAATTGCAGTGAATATAACTCAGGAAACACTTATAAGAAGACAAGGAGCAAGGATGAGGATGAGGCGTAGGTGACTGAGTGACTATGTGACTCATGCAAAGAGAAACTGAGGTCTAGACATGTGGAACCTGAAGAACGTGGATTGCATACACACTTAAAGCACTTGTTGGGCTTATTATGAGGCCCAATAACTTTATTATAGGACTGAACAAAATGAACCATAAATAGGAGGGAAGTGGCATTTTCTTTTTTATCAAAATATTGGATAATTGATTTCAATTCTCTCTCTTTGTATTCTCGAGTTGAGTTTACAGCATCCTTGAATTGCCGCCATTATAGTAATATTCAGTGTTTCTATATTCCAATTGCTATGAGAGCATACAAACGCTTATGAGATAAATTTATTTAATATATAAATATAATAAATTATTTTAATATAATGATTTTCGTTTATTTATTTTTATATAATAGTTTTGGACGGAAATAGAATTCCGTCGAAAATTCATAAATAAAATTTCTTTTTTATTTAGTTTTATATAATGGTTTTCGATAAAAATCAAATTCCGTCGAAAATTCATAAATAAAATATTTTTTTGATTTATTTTTATATAATAATTTTCGACGAAAAACGAATTCCGTCGAAAATTCATAATAATAATTTCTTTTTTATTTTTTTTAATATAATGATTTACGACGGAAAATGAATTCTGTTGAAAAATTCATAAAATTAATTTCTTTTTTATTTGTTTTAGATAATGGTTTTCGACGGAAATCGAATTCCGTCGAAAATTCATAAATAAAATTTCTATTTAATTTTTTTTATATAATGATTTTCTACGGAAATCGAATTTCGTAAAAAATTCATAAATAAAATTTCTTTTTTATTTATTTTTATATAATGGTGAAAATTCATAAATATATATATTTTTTGATTTATTTTTATATAATGATTTTCGACGAAAATCGAATTCCGTAAAAAATTAATAGATATAATTTCTTTTTTATTTATTTTATATAATCATTTTCGATGGAAATCGAATTCCGTTAAAAATTCATAAATATAACTTTTTTAATTTTTTTATATAATAATTTTCGACGGAATTAATTATCTGTCGAAAATTTTGACGGAATACGTTTTTCGGTTGAAATTTTCGTCTTTAATTTTGACGAAATATTTTGCGTCAAAATGTTTCATCGAAAATTTAGTCTTTTCTAGTAGTGTCATACAAGCTCGTCTCAAAGGCCATCAGAATGCAGGTTTTTTTGCCAAGTCTTTACTTGCACTTATACCCACGCTTTCTGAAAGATGTTTCAAGTTACTACAAGCAGGGAAAGATTTTTTATGTTGGAAGACATGAATGAAGGCTTGGAAAGGTTGGTCTTTTCTATGGCAAGAACGTTGGTAAGCAAGTCATTCGCGTTGCTCGGGAATGATTTTCTTTTTTCCGAGCAGAAGCTTGTTAGTTTCTACTAAGTAGTAAAACATATTCACTTGAATTTTTTCATGTATATGTGCTCTAGTTGAGTTTCGGAATCGTTTGATGTTAGATGATATCACCATAGCAGATAAACAAGATAAAAAAGATTAAATGTAGTCTCGGCCACAATAATTGATGGCATCATTTTGATGTTTTTGTATGAAATATTAGTTTCAATGAATTAGTATTGTTCAAAAGAAAATATTGGTTATTCGAGGACCCGGGTGCATAAGCCCATGATTAAATGAAAAAAAAAACTATGTCCTCTAGTCTAGTAGGTCAAGGAATGGTTGAGGTACAAGAGGACTCTAAAAAAAACTACCTTTATTTTAACAAAAAATAGTATTGTCATCAAAATGGTAGATCAGTTAGCATAAGGAAACTAATAAAGGTGAGCGTATGAGGTTATGTTCGATTATCATTTTTGGAAGAAGTTTAAAGTCTTGGACCCATATTAAATCGGACTAGTCGCGAAGCGATGAACCGATTGAAATATCTAAGAAAAGAAGAAGCAATATTATCTATCACTATTATTAGCAATTATAATTGTCCTTAATCCCTAATTTTTATTTAGTAAAATCTCGCCCTTTGATCCGTAAGAATATTTTACTTGTGGTTTAGTTGCTGATTTAAATTATAGGACAATTTAGATTTTCAATTATTTAAACTAATTCAGCGTTACTCCTCTTATTATCTCCAAAAGAGCTAAAACGAAAAGTTTGAATACTTGAATGCATAATTTAAAGTAGAATGTTCAGGTTTGCTTAAGCTTCTATAAATTCAAGTCTTAGTCGTTGATGAGAAGGTAGCTAATATTTTGAATTGTTTTTTTTTTTTTTTTTAAAAAAAAGATAGTCAAATTTGATGACTGCAGATAAGCGTACAAACGTTTATGAACGGGCCCATAATATGGTTATGAGCGGGCCTATAACGTGCATGGATTGTGAATTTAATGGGTGTCTGGAACGAATAACCCCAAATCAACCGGGCTGCCCTGAATTGATGGGGCAGGACTCAGGACTCGGAGGGCGTTAATACATAACCGAACCGCAGGTGTAAGTAGATTAACAAAGTGGGCGGTCCGCTTCATCTCGCTATCAACCGGCCAAAAAATGAGCCAGTCCGCCTCGCTTTTGAAAGTGGGTTGAAAAACTCAGCCCGCCCCGCCTCGTTTGGTGGGTTGGGCGGGTTAGCTTGCCAGCCCGAACCTATTTTACACTAACCCGCCTATGCCCGCCATCGGCCCGTCAAAAAATGAGCCTATCCCGACTCGTCCCGCTTTTAAGATGAGTTTAAAAACTTACCCAGCCCCTTTTAACGGGTTGGGCGGATTGACCTGCCGAGCGGCGGAGCCCGTTTTGCGGGCTATACGTGTAAGAGATGTTAGGTAAAAGTAGAAGATGGCTCGTGGACACGACGACACTTTAGTACCCAACCAGCTACTTGGGTTAGGTGCATCAAATAAAACTAAAATTAAAAGTAGAAGTAGAAGTCACATGCTTAGTTTTCAGCGAGTGGGTACTGAACTGAAGTAGTAGAAGCAGAATTAGTAGAGTAGTTCTCATTTTTTGCATTTGGATCTCAACGATGATCGCAGGAGAAGAAGAAAAAGTGGAAAACAAGCAGGTCATATTCAAAGGGTACATAGATGGAGTTCCTAAAGAGACCGATATGGAACTCAAGCTTACAAAAATTGAACTCAAGCTTCCCACTCAAGCTCAAGGCACTAGTGCTCTACTTGTCAAGAATCTCTACCTCTCTTGTGACCCATACATGCGAGGTCGTATGCGTGATTTCCATGGATCTTATATAGCCCCTTTTGTTCCTTCTCAGGTAATTAATTAACTAATTAACTAACTAACTCTTCCCCTGTTTCTTAAAAACAATAGACTAATTTATAATTGAATACAGTAAGTAATATTCATCAGAGCATGTGATTGATTGTGTATTTTGATGAAGGTCCTTGAAGGTTTTGGTGTATCGAAAGTTATATTCTCTGATAATCCAAATTTCAAGGCAGGCGATTTCATCTCTGGATTCACTGGCTGGGAAGAATATAGCTTCATCCATAAAACAGATCAGTTGAGAAAAATTCAGCCAGATCATCAAATTCCCCTCTCCTTCCATCTCGGTCTTCTTGGTATGCCACTCCTCTTCATTAATATCATGCTAGCTTTGTTTTCTTCTTTTATCATTTTAGATTTGTAAATTCTTACTCTTTGTATTGGTTTCATTCTCTTTATGATTATTTTTTGAATCCTGTTTCACAACTATGCTGAAGGAATAAAGTTTTCAGTAGGATAATTGTGACCTCAAGAAAAAAAAAACTCCCACGAGCATGAGCAGAGATGATTTCTTTTGATCCACTGAACCAATAGTAGTTTAGTTTGCTTTTCAATTTAATAATATTTTCAAATAATGGATTATCAGCGGTGATCAACAGTTTTGAGTGCCTCAAGGTTTGGATTTTAAGTTGTTGAAAGTGTAGACACTTCTTGCAGTCAAGTAATTCGCTCAGGCTGAACATTTTAGCCACCATTTGATAAAATAGGATAGCACCATTTTATGCATAGTTATTATTTTCATATTCAAGGTTGGTATTGTCAAAACCTTGAATATCCTCTTACCATGCTGGATTTATGTTTTTCCGTTTTCTGATTTATGTGTGAAAGTGAATCCATCTCCCATTCTTATATTGGAGAACCTGTTCCAATTGACTCATTTTGATAAATAATATTAACCCATCATATTTTGTTGTTGTTAATTTTATAGGAATGCCAGGTTTTACAGCTTATGCAGGATTTTATGAGGTCTGCTCCCCAAGCAAAGGAGAATATGTTTTTGTATCTGCAGCATCAGGTGCTGTAGGTCAGCTTGTAGGCCAACTTGCTAAGTTGCATGGGTGTTATGTAGTTGGAAGTGCTGGCTCAAAGGAAAAGGTCAATTTCACTAATAATTTATTGTATGATTGCGGAAAAACAAATTAGTGCTTGAATTACTTTTTCCTGCATGAATAAAATAGATGTTGTTTTGGCAATCAGACACACATGACACAAATACTTGGACTAGTATTTAGTTGAGTTGCTTATTAAATCTGTTATATTAGGTTGACCTTCTAAAGAATAAGCTTGGATTCGACGAAGCTTTTAACTACAAGGAAGAATTAGACTTGGATGCTGCTCTGAAGAGGTGTGTAACAGGCTCGAGGATAATATATATAGTTTTGTCTTTGAAAAGGAAAATGACTTAGAAAATAAAAAGTTTGTTTGAGAAATAAGGTTCCTTATATAAGCACTTCTCACTCGTTATATCCTTAATGACTTCCACAATCAAAACTGAAGACACCATTTTTTTCTGGCTCACTGGACAGGTATTTTCCACAAGGCATTGACATCTACTTCGATAACGTGGGTGGGGACATGCTTGATGCTGCACTCCTTAACATGAGGATTCATGGTAGAATTGCACTCTGTGGGATGGTGTCTCAGAATAGCCTTTCTAATCCCCAAGGGATTCACAACTTATACAATCTCATTACAAAGCGCGTCAGAATGCAGGGTTTTTTGCAAAGTGATTACTTGCACTTATACCCTCGCTTTCTGGAACATGTTTCTAGTTACTACAAGCAGGGAAAGATTTTTTATGTTGAAGACATGAATGAAGGCTTGGAAAGTGCTCCAGCTGCTTTGGTTGGACTTTTCTATGGCAAGAACGTTGGTAAGCAAGTCATTCGCGTTGCCCATGAATGATTTTCTTTTTTTCTTTATTCCCTAGCAGAAGCTTGTTATGTTGTAAAACTTAATTCACTTGAATTTTTTCATCTCTATGTGCTCTAGTTTAGTTTCGGAATCGTTTGAAGTTAGATGATATCACCATAGCAGATAAACAAGATAAAGAAAGATTAAATGTAGTCTCAGCCACGATAATTCCCTGGCCAATGGCAATGCATATGAGCATGAAATTTGCACAACTAACACAAATGTATGTGTCTCAATTTTTAAAAAAAATATGTAAGTACCTCAATAAATGGCATATGTAGACGAAGACATTAGTTATTGATCACATCATGAATTGCAACTGCATACAAATATTAATTTTTTTTTATTTTTGTATTTTATAATTGATAACTATAAAAACGATATTTTATAATTTCACATGAATTTAATTTGTGATAAATTTTATAATATAAAAAAGTTTAAAACTTGGCGTTCTTTTAAAAATGTAATCAAGTTTGATTTTATCTTGAAAGGCTGATTTAAGTTATCGATCATTTTATTATGTAAGAGTTTGACGAATAAACTTACATAATATAATATAGTTGTATCAAATAACTGATAAAGTTATAATGCTTTTTTAACAATTTATCTTATCAGGCTTGATTCGTCGTATTAAATAATTTATTTATTTATCGACTCTCATATAATAAGAGAGAAAAAAAATTAGCTGACACATATAAATCAGAGATAAAATTTATTTTATATTTTTTCTTTCTCCTCTTTCTTCTGATTTATGTATGTATGAGATTTTTTTCTTTCTAGATACATGAAAATTGATTTTTTTTTTTTTTATGTATAGGTGAAAAATAAAATGTAGCAATAGAGAAGGTTATAACCACTAAAGCACGGACACGCTCGTCCAAAAAAATTTGTGTGTTGGACACGCGATCAATATTTAGAGAAACGCGGTCAACTCTCTGACAGACACATTTTTTCGTTACGCGGTTAACTTTTTCTAACACGCGGTCAACGTCAGGACACGCTTGGACACATTATTTTTTTAAAAAAAAATCTTAATTTTATTTTGTTAACTAAATATAAAAAATAATTTATAAATTAATTTTTTTCTGTTATGAAATTTGACATGAAAAATTAACAAAGTACGAAAAATTATTTAAGACTTTAATGTTTCTTAAGTGATGTAAATAAGTTATTTACATTCGCTCCCAAAACGACGTCGTTTTTTATTGAAAAACTAAAAAATTATATTGAAAAAGACTATTACAAAAATACTTTGATTTTCGTTTCAAAACGACGTCGTTTTGGACTCACAGTAGATAAATTATCTACATTGATTGTAGAAAAAAGTGAATCCATTATTTATATTTATATTTATGTCGTGAAATTTAAATATTTGATTGGTTGTGTGACTTATTATGAATTTTTATATATTAAATATAAATTATATCATATATATTAAAAAATTTATTTAATATCAAAACGTGTTTCAACGTGTCCAAATATAACATTTTTAAAATTAACGTATCGGCGTGTCGTGTCTAGTATTTCGTGTCCGTGTATTAAATATAAATTATATTATATATATTAAAATAGTATATTAGAAATTTCACCGTTTACGAGAGGCGTAACTCACTTGATGGGTCAGGTGAAAGCAGAAAAGAAGTCATGAAAAGCATGCTTTTGTGGGGCCCATGAGCGACCCAACACACGGGCATCGGTTGAAAAAAAAGGAAAAAATTGGGATAAAAATGGAATTAAAACGAAAATGTAGGTTTAAATGAGAAGAAAATTTATTTATTTTGAAAAAAAAAAAAAAGTGCCTAATTAAGTAGGTTAGAAGAAATTTTCCCAACTCACGCTCTCTTCTGCTTCTTCATTACGCCCGCAATTGATTGAGCCAAATGGTCAACGCAACCTATTCCCGACGGAATCTCTGTCATCCACCACGTGTCTTCTTCCCATAGGACCCTTCTCTCTCCTCTTTCTCTTCATTCCTCTAACCCTCCTCTTCGAAATTTGAATCACTACCATACCATCGATACAGGTTCGTCCTCTCCTCTCTCTCTCTCTCTCTCTCTCTCTCTCTCTCTCTCAGTTACATCATCGTGCCAGTTTCTTTGTTTTAGGGTTTTAATTTCGCTCTATTTCTCAATTTCGTTCATCCTATGTTTCATTCTTCCATATCTAGATCCTTCCACGTCTAGGTTTTTGTTTTTTGCCACTCACTTTTTTTTATTTACTTTTTGTTTTTGCTACTTCTATGTGTTTTGCGTTTTGATTTGGCCAATTGGCTATGTTAATTTGGGCTATCGAATTATGGACTTGTCTGATTCCCGGAAAAATTAGAGAAATGGATTGGGAAATTTTTGGATTGTGGAATATTGCGACATTTAGGTAATGAATCTCATGTTATTCTTTTTCTTTTCTAATTTTTGTGAATTTTAGTTTGCAGGATTAAGGTGTAAGATTAGCCAAGGCGAAAAATGGCAGCTGCAGAATCTTCTCGCGAGGAGAATGTTTACATGGCGAAGTTGGCAGAGCAGACGGAGCGATATGAGGAGATGATTGAGTTCATGGAGAAGGTTGTGAAGACGGTGGATGTTGATGAGTTGACTGTGGAGGAGAGGAATCTCCTCTCTGTTGCTTACAAGAATGTTATTGGGGCAAGAAGGGCTTCTTGGAGGATCATTTCCTCCATTGAGCAGAAGGAGGAGAGTAGGGGCAATGATGACCATGTTGCTCTTATAAAAGAGTACAAAACCAAGATTGAGACTGAACTCAGCAAGATCTGTGATGGGATTTTGAGCCTCCTTGACTCTAATCTGATCCCATCTGCTGCATCTCCCGAATCTAAATTGTTTTACCTTAAAATGAAGGGTGATTACCACAGGTACCTTGCTGAGTTTAAAAGTGGGTCAGAAAGAAAAGAAGCTGCGGAGAATACTTTGTTAGCTTACAAATCGGCTCAGGTATAGAAATGTAGCAGTTTAAGCATTCTACATTCATCATTTAATCCGATATGATGTTTATAATTATTTGAATGATGTTACAGTAGTGATTACGAAACTCAAAATTTGTGTGTTTACTTGATCCAGGACATTGCTCTTGCAGAACTGGCCCCAACCCACCCGATAAGGCTGGGTCTTGCACTCAACTTTTCTGTGTTCTATTATGAAATCCTTAACTCCCCCGATCGTGCTTGTAATCTTGCGAAACAGGTATCTTTACTTGGTATATGATCTAAAGGCTGATATATTTTTTTATACATTGACCAGTATATCTTAGTTGAACATAGATGAAAAAATTGTATTTATGTGTTAGTATAGACCTCAGCCTTGAGCCAATGTTCTGAGTACCAGGCACTACGGAGCTGCAGGGGAATAGCCTCTCATCACATTGCAGCAGGATAGCAATTTCTTTTAAATTTATCAATCTAATTAGGAGACAATATATTTTGACATGATTCAATATTCTTTGAGTTGATGAACATCCCTGTAGTAATCAGATGAATTGAGTTTGCGAAATCAGAGTACCAAACTTCTCCTTGGGAGGATAGATGGGGTGATTCACCCCTACAGTATCGTCACCGCAATAGAGTTTAACCACCAAGTTCGGGATGGATTGGTGTGGTTCCTCTACACCTAGGACACCAGAATATCGAACCATAAATGAAGAAAGGCACGAGATAAAAGAAAGCATATTGGCTATTCATTGTGAGACCCAAATTCTTGACTGGATCTTTGATGGCAGTTTGTTAGTTAAAACTGATTTTTTATGGGCTGGTGAGGGTCAAGATCTTCCTGTATTATGTTTGACGGGAATCTTTTGTGTCCACCCTCTTTACTTGGCAAAGTCATAATAAATAAAATTCATACATTTTAGCAATTTTTATTGAAGAAAATTGTATGAATTTAGTTCTTATTTAAGAGATTGAACTTTGCATTGTGTTACGAATTTCAATAGTGTACATTCCTTATTCAGTTTTCTCTTCTATTATTTGACAAGGTTGATGTATCATTTAGACAGTTATCTAGCGCTTCCCATGTCCTGTTATGATGGGTCTAAAAGACTCTGATGTTTTATTTTTTCATTCTCCCTTACTTTCCTTCCTCTTCTCTGTAGTGATTTATGTAAAACACTTAATTATGGCAGGCATTTGATGAGGCAATTTCTGAGCTTGACACATTGGGTGAAGAGTCATACAAGGACAGTACATTGATCATGCAACTTCTGCGAGACAATCTGACTTTGTGGACATCTGACATCGCGGTCTCTCTCTCTCTCTCACACACACACATACCTAGTATTGTGTATTTATATACTAAATATTTATTGATTTGTGTTATAACTGTAGACTTTGAGAGTAGATCATTGGGTGTACATGTAGTCCTTTATTTTCTGTTGTCTATTCTTGATGGCTGAACAAAATTAAATTCTTGAGAAACAAGCGGTTTATAAGCTGGACACTAACAACATAAACTTTTTTTCTTCTGTGAGAGCAAAGCTTGTTCCACAGAAGATAGTTTCAAACAAATTTGAACTTGTTTAGTTGGACAGTTTTGTGGTTGTTGTCTAAGTACTTAGTACCTTGTTCCGAGCATTATTTTTGTCTCAAGTTGTGTAGTTGAGGTTTTCTTAAAGGACTCTTACAATTTTATCCTCAAACATGCTGAAACAATTACACAAACGATCAACATATGTTCTGGCTGAAGGTCTAATGCATTATGCACCTATGCTGTCTATTGTCATTGATAGCTTTTACACAGAGTATTAGGATTTGGCTATTTTTCAATCCAAGTTTTTTTTTTGATTTGCCTCTGAATATTTCAGGATGAAGCTGGAGATGAGATCAAGGAAACATCTAAGCAACAAACAGATGATGGGCAGCAGTAATGTGGTAGTTAATGGGATATGTATTCTGTAGTTTACCTTGGGAGACCCTTGATATAGATTTCATGTGGGTTGCCGTAGTAGGATTGTATCAATGGATTTCATGATTTCAAGTGAGGGTTGCGCTTGGGATTTACAGTGTTTCAGTGGATCATGTATGTGTTTTATTGATGAGAAGAATGAGATCTAGCTTGTTTAGTGATTTACAAATTTTCGATTGTTGCTAGAATATGAGTGCATAGCGTTCTTGTGAGATCCTTTTTCCGTAGCGGTGCTGTCTACGCTCCCGAATCATTACTGAAGCTAATAAGATTATTTCTTACTAAATGTAGAATTTGACTCCAGATGTATGTGGTTACTGGTTGGTCAAACTTTGAATGTCCTTTTACATATCAAGCATTGAGTGGTAGCCCTTCATGATATTAGCGTGGTCTATATTGATTGGCGTCGTTATAGAAACTTGAATTTCACTTTGCCATTCATGAAATGCTTTTCAGTTTTCAGGTCTTTCCTACTTTTCTTTTATAACATTTTTTTAAAAAGTTTTCCAAGGCGAATGCTTTTAGCATGGTTGCCATTGTTTGGTTAAATAGCTCGAGTCTTGAACAATTGAATTTGTAAGGGCATTAAATTGAGTATTGAGACTAGTAAAGGACGAGGAAACACCAATTTTGGTTTCTAAAAGATGTACGCGACATCAGTATCTCAAAGATAAACAGTCCTTGGACGATACATGAGAACTTTCGATGAGATGCCTCTCAGAAACATTCTCTTTCGTTCTGCTGTCGAAGTTACTCACGCTCCCAACACTTCAGTCATGCTCTCGGCTTGATTTCCTGGCTATTACAGTATATAGTTTTGTTAGTATTAATAAGGAGAAATTCTAGTCAGTGTCTTTTTTATTCGATTGAGTATAGTAATTTATGAGTTGACAAGAATCTCTAATTTGGGTTAGTTTATGGGTCATCTGTCAATTACTTCACACTGGCGAATTCAATAGGGCAGCTACTGAGATCCATTTATGGGATCACTTCCCTATATGTCTATGTCAATTACTTCACACGGACCAGTTCAATAGGGCAGCTACTAAGATCCATTTAAGAGATCACTTCCCATTATCTCTAAAGTGAAACTTTTGACAGTAGATGATCTCACTCTACCTTATTAACACAATTCCCAAAATTCTCACAATTCGCAAGGGGGTGTTTGTTACAAAAAAAAAAAAAATTAAGATTCCGGAAAACTGAAAGTTGTAATCGTATTTATCCATGTTTGGTATTAAAATTTTCTCAGAAATCTAATTTTTTTGGGATTTTATTTTGTGTGTAAATTTTTTTGAAAATACTATCCAAGAATACCACTTAGGAGGTGGTATTCTAAGATTTCTATGGTAAGGGAAAATTAACTACAACTAAACATAACATCAAGAAAATTAACCCAATATTGTCCGAAATATTTTAGTCTAGCAAACAACTTTTTTGTAACACTCCCAGAAAACTCATCTTCCCATCATATTTTTTAAAATCGTGATTTCTGGATAAAAATTTTTTTCTCTCTGCCAAACGCACCCAAATGTTATTAATGTTCCCGAGCGATGAACAAGTGAAACACCCCCTTCGCCTGCAAAGAAAATTCGTCTTGGTGAAGCTGTCTCAAAGGTCGGTTTGAACTAAATTAGTTCCAAGTTTTCTTCTTGTTTTCCCTCCTTGTCAATTGTCATTGTCCATCTTTTAAGACATGTTGTGATTCTTTTCATTTTTTGTTCCTTTCTAAATTTTTGGTCAGGGAATTGTCAATAATGAGCCTCTTTGTTATTTCATCGGGAGAGTATATCTTTTCTTGACACGTCTTGGTATAGACAAATACCGTTTAAGATTTAGGCAACACCTTAGAAATGAGATGGCCCATTATGCTGATAACTGTTGGGATACTGAGATTGAGTGTTTCTATGGCTGGATTGAGTGTGTTGGCATTGCCGAGATAGATCTGCATTTGACTTGAATGCTCACTCGGTAATCCCTCTAATTATTTGTATTCTTTGTCATAAGTTTTCTTTTTATAATGAAAATGTTAATTTTCTAGTTAAAACAAACAAAATATAAGGTGTATGTGCACAACAAGTTGCCTTACAATTACCAAAACAAAGTTTTTCTTTATTACTTTACCTCCCCTGGAGTTTGTTTATTTGTCACTTAACTCATCTTGAAGATTGGTTTCAAGTGTTTGGAGTTTAACTTGCATTTTTTTTAACTGAGAAAGTAATATCTTCACTTAAAATCAAATCATGTGAGGATAAAATGTATTTTGGAAAATATCAAAACAACTAAGCAAATTCCAATCTTATATTCTGTGGCGTACCACATTCTCATAATGCTTTTGTATTTGATACATAAGGAGAAAAGCGGTGTTCCACTAGTAGTGGCTCATGAAAAGTTTTCAGAACCTAAGGAAGTGGAGGTACTGTTTAATTCTAATAGTATTGATTTATTGATGGGATATACATGATTGGTCCCTGCAATTTCATGCACCACCCTCAAAAGTATTTGCTCATCATTGATTGACATGGTTTGTGAATTGTTTCAGAAATTGGTTATAGCTCCAGTTAAGAAGGAGTTGGGTCTGGCATTCAAAGGGGCTCAAAAGAATGTGGTTGAAGCACTTGAGGTAATTGATGGTGTAATTATTTTGGTTGGTTGTTAATTCCATGATTCTTTGTAAAAAAAATTTATATATGGAATTGGCAGGCAATGCATGAGGAAGAAGCTTTAAATATGAAGGGCTGCACTTGGAATCAAAAGGGGAAGTGGAGTTTAATGTGTGTACACTAGAGAAAACTGTGACTATTAAGAAGAATATGGTGACCATTCACATGGAGAAAAAGCATGTGAAAAAGAAAGAGTCTTTCAACACTCTTTCTACATGAGGCCAAGTAAAGCTGGGGATGAACAGTTAAATGTATTTTGCTTCCCTTCATTTGTGGCTCCTATTAAGTGTACGGTTTTCCCTCTGGTTCAGAATCAGAAGTATGAAGAGGTTGCTAAAGACATTTTCAAGTCATTGACTGCGGCTAAAATTTCGCATAAGATTGACATTATAGGTTTGTCCATAAAATAGATGTTCTCATTAATATGCATAATGTCATATAAAATTTTAGAGGTTTACCCTGGATGATTGCATGAATACATGTTAAAAATGTGTACTTTTTTCTAAAAGAAGAAATTCTTTAAGATGAAAATAAGAAAATTTTGTGAAATTCTGAGGATAAAACATTCTCCATGCTGAAAAAAGGTAAAACAAAACATCCAAGCAAAAGAGAAAACACCAATGGATTAAAGCTGCCCAATTTCTCTTCGTGTCTGTCTGTTAAGGAGAACAGAATGATATGCTTACACTAAGCAGAAGCTAATTGCCTATTCTCATAGCAAATCTGCTTTGGAGCCAAAGAAACCTTAAAAATAGTGTTATACACCGACCAAATATTCCAAAATATTAATAGCCTTTTACTTCTATCAAAAGTCAAAACCACTAAAGCTGGTCACCGAAAAAATTATGGATGACCTTAGTGCACACCCTGAATTCCAAAAAAGCTGACAGAATGTATTATTCCATTAAAAAAAATGTTATTTTTGACTTTTTCAAATCATAAATGCACCCTATGGGTGAGAAGAGTTTCAATGGTTCAGGATCACTATTTACTCAATGGTCCGGACCAATTAAAATTACACAAAAAATAAAAAAAGAGGAGAAAGAAAAAATAAAAAATAATTTTTTGTCCAAATATCACCTCTTAATTAGGAGAAAAGTTACTATGCACCCGGTGCAATGCACCTTTTTCTAAAAATAGAAAAAAACTAGGATATAGAAAGAAATATCTAAAATGATAGGGATAAAAGTGTCATAAAAAAAATTTTAATTTGGAAAAGGGAACACTGAATTATGGTGCACCGAGTCTTTTCTCCTTAATTAGAAGGACCACGTGAGGCCTGCACTGAAAAAAAAACCCTGTGGGCTCTTTGAGGATCCTGTTCTTAAAGCAGTGCTTTTTTGTTTTGTTTGTCAGTTGTCTATATTTGATTTATTTTAAATTGACTTTTCAAAGGTGCTTCTTCTTCATGGACATCCCTAAATCGGTGGATATATTATTTATTTTAAATAATGTGTGAAAATGGAAAATAATCCTTTGGCTTGATGCAGATTTCTTTATGGTCCTCCAGATACGTCGGTATACCCTTATATCCTTTCGTTAGAATTGGGATTTGAGTTATACTAGCCAACCACTCAAAACACTTTACAACCACAAGAAAGATCATAAGGATTTCACACTTCAAAAAAAAAAAAAGGGCCAACTAAGGTTTTAAGACACTATCTTTGCAATTTTATGCTTGCCTTATCATTTAGAATGGAATGGGCTCCAAAAAACCTTTTTATTGATAAGGTATAGGACATGATTGCTATTTTTTGGAGCATGAGTGAAACTAATCAAAAGAAACGAAGAGAAAATGAAATAGCTGGATAAAAACATCACTGTTGCGAACACGGCAAGTACATCGATCGTACAAATAATAAAATAATTAAATAAAAGTATCGTTCCAACAAAGATTAATTACAAACAATAATTTTACCATTTTTATCTAAGTTAGACAATTCCAAAAATGATTTCACATGTAACTAATATTTAATTAAAAATTAAATATAGATAACAGTAGAAGACATTATGTAAAAGACTGATTTAAAATAAAAAAAGAGTATTAAAAATTGAGAATAAAAATACAGCTAGGGTCTATTTCACCTTTGATTCCCCTTAAGTGAATTAAATTAATTCAATAAAATTCTAACCCTATTGTTATCAAACGATTCATCATCTAATTATTAATTGGTTAAATCCATAATGTCTTAGTTATTTAATCCTTTAATCTAATTAGAATCCTAATTTCTTAGAAATTCTTTTTAAATTAAGCATTAAACGCGATGAATTTCGCACGTTTGCAACTCTTACCAGTCTATGTCTAGAAATAAGCAAAAATTGGTATTTATCCTAGTCCGATTAAAATCTTAAATATTTCTATTTAGAATTTTAGCCTCTTTATTCTTATATGGTTGATCAAGTCATATAGGAAATTAAACAAATAAATCAGGATAAACACATGACAATTGAGACAGAGTTTTATTGAAAAATAATTTAAATCAATATAAGAGTAATCATTGGATCTATATCCTTAACTATTAAGAAAATTAGTTAGACATATTCATATATGAAAATATCAAATGAAAATTAAAAGATAATTAATCTAAATTCTTGGATGAAGAATGATTTTGAGTCTCCAGGTTTTCGCTTTGATCCTCTTTCAGTTCTCATCGTCTCTGATTTTTGAGTTCTTTTCATTCTGTCTTCCTTACTCTTTGCCTATGTGCTCGAATATCTCCCCCAGAATTTTCTTTTCCTTCTTTTTTATGTTCAAGAGAGAGTTTCCTTAAATTTTTTTAATTCAAATCTTTAATCAGATTTGGTACGATTTCTTTTAAGAAAATCTCAACTTGAAAAAGATATTCAAATTATCAAAGCAATCTTCAATCAAATCTTCGAACAATTCCCGTGTCGAGAAATCAAATTTTAAAACTTCAAAACACGTGCACGTGACAGTGGCAACACTTGGTGCATTTTGCGCAACTACAAGAGAGATTTGTGCCACTTTACATAAACTCTAAAAGCTTGGCTGCCATGGTGTGAGAGAAGTTGGCACAATTTGTGCCAACATAAAAACTCTGCGCATTTGACTTTCTCTTTTTGCGTTCCTTTTTCTTTTCTTATTTTCATTGTTGTTTAAGCCTTCCATCTTGATATTCTTTAATCAGAAAAATTCCTACAAAATACAATGATTTCATGAAAATAAATCAATAAATAAATTATAATTTTCATGTATTTTGTCTGAATTTAAATTAATTACTTGCTCAATTTGACCATTAATATATAGTGGATTAAGGACTTATCAGTCACACTGGTTTGTAGTGCAAAATAAAAATAAAAATAGAGAGGCATGCTTGGTGAAAAAGGATTTGTATCCTTTCATGTTGTTAATATAACAGTGAAAATTTTTAAGAGAGAAAGACGTGCAGGGAATTATGCAAGTATTACACGAAAGTACTTTGTATCTGCTCAACAACCATGGTACTAATTTGTTTATGGATATTACTAAATTTCGTCATCAAGTATTAAATTTAACTTAAGCTGTTTTGATTACACTTTAATCCACCACCTCTTTTTCTACACCAAGTCATATACCTCCTTTGTAAAGAGAGAACAGCTTATATTGCGTTTCGTGACAGTCATTATTTAAATAAGAATATATAGTTCCTGAAATTTCATTTGCTTTTCTATGGTGTGATGATGTGATCATTGGTTCAGGCACTGATTCCACCTATGTTGACATTCTTCTGTTATGGCATTAAGAAATGACCCTATGTTGACATATGATTAAAGAAAGTTAGCTAGATCCCTTTTAAGTCAACCTGCTGACACAGAGAAAGAAATTGGCATTTCTAGGCCTAATAATAATAATAATAAAATATAAAACTAAACTAAACATTGATATTGTGTCAAATGCTTACTCATCTTGAAACTATCATTTCAAGGATACAAAGTAACAAAAATACATCGTAGTCGTACTATAAACAATAGCTGCTCTATGCCATCAAGAAAGAAATGCAGCTACTATACTCTATAATATATCCATCATCCATGCAGGTGACGTCATCAAGAGATTAGAGGAACATGGATTCACGTTCTTGAACAAAAGCTCCAAAACTCAATGAACATCGCATGATAGTAATTACTTTCAGACACAGTGAAACAGAAAATGTTTCACCATCTATCTGTATATAATCTTAATCCACCAGCAAATCTGTGCCTCGCTTCAAGTACCAACTCCAATCAACTTGAGCTGTGGCAGGAAATTGAAATCAGATTACATTATCAGCATGTGAAGAATGTACAACTCTTAAGTAAAAATTGCTAAAACTTCAAATATGCCATAATAAAAAATTATGATCACCAGAATCAGATTAACTAACAGTAAAAACCAGACTTGAGTGGGACATAAAAATTACAATGTTATTCTGAGGCTTTCCCCAATAAAATCCTTGGAGGAAAATTGGGAAAACGTTGCAAGCCGCAAGGATATAAATCATTAGTGCATGCATGCCCATCCATTCCATAACCGCAGTCATGCGACTATATCCACATACATCAACCTACGAGGAAAAATAAAATAAAAAAGAATTCATCTATAATATGATTAAAGAATGATGCTTAACTTGAGCAAATTCAATTTTTTATAGCTCTCTATAAAGCAAGAAATTAAATCTCTAACCATCAAGTATATAGCGACAAAGAGGATGCCCGCTGCACCAGCAGTGACACACGTATAACTGACAGTGTAGAGAACCTTATTTATATGCATTCCTACAAGAAGAGCTCTAAGTTAATATGTACCAAGGAATAGAAATGTCAATAGCACAATGATCACACGTAAGACATATGAAAAGACAATGCTTACCAAATAAGTCCAAGGCAAGGCCAACAACTACAAGACAAGAGGTTGGGATCATCCAGTATATGATTCTAACTCTGTGATCCTGCATGCAGCAATAAGGAAACAACTAAGATACTTGTAACCAAATGAGGAAAGAGATAATAAAAAGAAAAATGTGAGAATTACCTTAAAATGGACAATAATATGTCCGTAGTGTAAGCCAATCAAGCAGGTAACAACAGCCATTACTGAACTATAATTCCACAAGTGACACAAAATTAAGGACAGGAAGAAAAAGCAATCATTGAAAATGAAATTCTAAAAGAGAAAGATGACAAAGTGAACTCACCTTAAGAGTCCTTCAGGATCAAATGGGGCCTGACACCAAGCAGGAGCATCAGGAGGCAATGGTCCATAGTTAGGGGAATTGATACTGCACTCCTGTTGATAGTTATAAAAGGAAACATAATTATAAAAAGGAAGAGCAACAAGAACTAAGAAACTGAGCCAGAACATCTCTGAATAGAGAGGACCATACAGGCATCCGTGCGTATATTGGTCTCCTGTACAGATGGCGGATACCCAATATCTTACGATCAATCATTCCAACAGCATTGCAGCCTGGTCCTGTGTTAGCCCTTACACCACACTTAATCTAGCAAATGTGAAAATAGATACATAAATCCGGTTTGCAACTAATATCAGCAGTTAAATTCTTCCCGAAAACCTCAAGACAGATGAGAAAATAAGAAGACATCTACACTCACTGAAAATATCTTTGGTCCTGAAGAAGGTTCTGTTTGAATTTGATACTGCCAATCAGGAACGTACAACCCATATAGCAGGCAAAGATAAAGGCCAGAAAGAAACAATGCCACGGCCCTGTTACAATCAAACAGCTTAACACGGTATGGCCATGATGAAAAAAGAGAAGAAAAAAAATCCCACTCAGAAAAAACATGATTTGAGATACAGGTTGAAGAGAAAAAAAGCAGCATCATAGCACTTATCATTAACACCATAATTACATTGCCAACAGAACACACAGGAAAACAAGCATGGCCATAATACAGGTTAAAGTGGAAGCAACATCACAACGTGTGCCATGAATGCCAAAAATACCAACAGTGTATTGTTGAGTAAAACACATAAGCAAGGTATTGCCATGCCATAAGAGAGAGAGAGAGAGAGGGGGGGGGGGGGGGGAAGTGGGAAGCAACATCACAACATAATCATGAAAACCAGAATTAAATTGCCACCTGCGTGACTGCAATAACTAAAATCTCAGCTCTAAGATGGGACTACATGATTTTAGTTCCAAGATCATGTCAACTAAGTTGAAAAACTATAAGAACTTGTGTGTAGACAAGAAGTCACTGAATCAAAAGTCAGGTTAAAGAAGGCTTTAGCATGTATTCTATATTTCCAATATATCAAAGCACATTAAAACAATGATTTAACAATCCGCAGGGCCATTTATAAGATTCATAAGGAAAAAATAGAAATTTCATAATACTAACTAACCAGGATTATACTTGGCATTTTCAACCTTTGGTATTCCTGTGTTTTATTCCATTGAAAAAGAAATGATTTGTTCCTTTTCACATTTGTTTTTCCCAAAAATTCTGAGGTATATGTAAAATAAGTATTTATAGAGTCATAAAAATCCAGGTTAAAAAGGTTGTAGCTGCATCAATCGTCAATTAAGAAACTAAAAGTCTAGAGGAAAATTTAGCTTACCACTGGTGTCGATACTTCCTTAATAGAGATGATCCTGAATTAACAGTATCATCACCCTTGAGCCAAATTTCACACAGTGCCGTAAGCAAATATGCTATCGCAATTCTCTGGCATCCAATGAAGAAAATAAGGAACAATTATTACTATCGTATAGGAAAGAATATAGACAACAGAATATTTTTGTCATGAACTTCAGCTTATTGGTCAGTTGTACAACTGTAAAAATTACCATTGCCTGAAAATAATTTTGTATAAGACAAAGAATTAGACACTAGACAGTTAACAGTTAACTTTAGTTTTTAACTTGTGTTCAAACTTCTTGTGGGGACACAAGTTCCAGCTGTCAATTTGCACTTGATTTTTTTCCTTTACAATTTGTCACAAGGAGAGGTAGAGAAAACCTGCTAGTAAAAGCATACCTGCAATATTCCCATCCATCTTATCTGTTTGATATCCACTCCATATGTCAGATCATTTATTCGATGGAAATAACCTCCTGCAGAGGGTCAATTTTTAACATTCTAAAGAGAAAAATATAACATATTGGAAGTTCTCAACATCTAGCATATATATTGCATACACACGATTACCTTGAAGGAAAAGGCCTAACAGGAGAAGCTTTAGAGCCCTTAAAATTGCTTTTCTAGTTGCAACAACTCCGCAAGATAGCTTCTGTTGAAGTAAAAGATTAGTTAGGTATAATGGACTTTTTATCATGAAAGTACCACAATGAATTCTGGTTTTATTCAAATGATATAAAACAATCTAGATTGTAGAATTGAAAGAAATTGCATTAATAAACAATGTCATGACATGTTTTTTTTTTCTTCTGTAATATGTCAATTTATACAACAGTTTCAAGTAAATACCTTGTATGTGAGTGCAAGCGAAACACCGACAATAAAAAGGAAAAATGGCATGACAAAATCTGCTATTGTTACCCCATTCCATGGGGAATGATTGAGCGCTGGAATGATTCCACCAGCATCATCCACCAGTATCATCAGCTGCATCAAGATTGATAAATTCAGTAAAAATAAAAAAATGTAAGAGGAAAAACATCAAAGATAGTTTGTTTATCTGAGATGTACAGAACCTATGAACTCATCCCGAGTCTGTAATACACACATTTTATAAATTATTTGCCAAAAAATGAAATATCAAAGGTCCAGCGGGCGTCCCATTTGTTTGATATTGAGAGATTATTGAATCATCACATTAATTCACACCCATTTGTTGTGTTGTTCCTAAGAAAACTAGGGTCACCTTTTTTTCATCTGTCACCTTTCTTGAATGACTAACTGTACAGAAAATAATATTATGACTATAAAGTAGATACCAGACTGGAAATGAAGAAAAGAACAAGATCATGTGAATTACTTACGTAAGAAAACTAGTTTCTTGAGCAACTTTATTGTTTTCATCCTATACCACATATTTTTAACTCCAATTAGAAATATAACATAATTTGATTATGTTCCATGTGAATAGTTGAAGAAAGGAAGAGGCAAGTGGTTTGGTCATGCTTTTCAGTGAATAGTATACCTTCAATTATAAATTTATACAATCCCATGTGTGCACCAAACACTATATGAGGCTAAACAGGACAGTTTATCATATCAAGTCCAATTTTATTGGACACACCAAACCATGTCTAAATTTAAAAAAATTCCTTATAGAAAATAATGAGTACTTTACAATGCCACAAGTTGCATTCAAATGCAAGTTATACTATTGAAACAACAATTATTTATTTAATTATCATCTTAGACTTCTTATTCAATGATGTATATTTGCCAACAATATATGATATGCATGTAACTTCTAACATGGTTAAATGCTCCAACGTAGGATGCTTTTTTCTAAAGCAAAAAGCAATCATTGCGTTTCTTTGTCATCTCCAATTGATAAAGTAATACAAAAGCAAGTTATAGTGGTGGCAAGTCGATTAGCTATTACATCTAACCAATTGCATGTTATGCCACCACTTCTTGACAATGATGCGTCAGTCATCTAATATATAAACTTAGGCAATTTCTGATTAACCTAATCCATTACATTAATTTATTTATTTATTTGGTAAAACATTTACAATAGTTTTAGTGGCCTTATTAAATGGAAAAGAAAAAAAACACCGAGTCTGTGATTGGGCCAGAACTGATATAGCACAAACGGAAGCAGTTATCATTATTGTCTAACGGTTTAGAGGGTGGCCAAAAATGCCCCAAACTATAATTATGGGTAATAATATACTATATGTTGTTTAAGATTATTATGATTTTTTTTAGGCAATTATAACTGAAGGGTATAGGAAGTTGCAAGCTAAAGAAAATAAGCTCAAGTATGCCCGATTTATTCGGCTTGTTAGCAAGTTGTTATAGAGGATAATCATGTTTTTTAAATTAAACACATTTTGTTTTTGTATAATAAACATATATAATTCAAATTTTCAATAAAATGCAAACAAAATCGAAAGCATATAATAAGATGAGATACAGTTCACAAGACACGAAAGTCCTTCGTTGCTTGGGAGTTGGGATATATTCCCTTCTTGATATAGATTAAATATCTAAGTAGACACTATTTATTCCCATATCAATAATTGCAAAGACTATTATTTTTCTAAATGCATTTAGGAAAAAAAGCAGATGATTCGAAAAACAGAAAAATAGAATTGATATGTAATAAAAAATTTGATTTAACATATGAGAATAAATAGAAGAATAATGAGAAAAGTAGAGAAAGAATGTGAAGAAAAGAGGAATAAATAGAGATATTATGATTTAAAATAAAATCATGGTAAATTTTTGTGAAAAAAGGACTAGGAAATATTTTTTTTAAAAGTAGAGATACATAATAATCAGAAAACATTGCAAAATTTTATTGAAAGGGCAAGTAGCCCTGATGCTTTAAACGAACGGCTTACCGAATGATTAAAGTGATAAGATAAGAACCTTTCTCTAAAAAAAGGATGGGTGGTAAATCAATGTAAATTTTTGTTAAAAAACATTAGTAAATATTCTTTTATCAAAAGTATAGATATATAATAATAAGAGAATATTGTGAAAATTTCTCGAGAGGACAAGTAGCAGTAATACAGTTTAAATGGACGGCTTTCCGAAAAACTAAAGAGATAAGTTATAAAAACCAATCTCGAAAAAAACGGAAAGGGGGGAATTTAAAAAATACTTATAGAATTAGAAAATTAATAAAAAAAAGTTAATTTAGTATACGATAATAAATAGAAGAATAATGAGACAAGCAGACAAAGAATATGAAGAAAAGAAGAATAGTTCGATATATTATGATTTCATGGTAATGTTTTGTCAAATAAAAATTAAAAAAATACTAGATACATATAAATATATAAGAGAAATTATACTCTTATGTTACATAAGATTTCTCTCTCGTATTACACTCACATAAAAAATGTGTTTCTCTTCTTTCTTTCTTTTAAATTGGTGACCCAACTTAGTTTATTTCACAAGATAATTTCTCTCCTACGAAGCCCAACATATTATCTGAGAATATTGTGGAACTTGATAGAAAGGGGAAGAGCCGTAATGCCTATTTAAACGGACGGGTTTCCTAACGACTAAAGAGATAAGTAACAAACTATCTCTTAAAAAAAGGTGGGGCAAAAGTGACTTAGAACCAATGGATGGTAACACCAAACGCAATTCTTTTCTTCAAAGTAAAGCAAGATAACTTTAACACGTGCAAACTCTTTGGATTCTCTCAAAACACAAATTGGGATGGTAAATTGAAAGCCAGAAAAAATCCCAAGAATCTCTCCCTCAATATTCCTCCATTACCCATTAAAAAAAGAACCACCAGTGGGTCATGAGTCATAAAGCGAGCGAGTGGTGACTAATATCAACATAAATAGTCCCTAACCTTTGTTATCATTTTTGGACTACCACTCAATCCAAATTCACGGGAAAGGAAAGGAAAGAAGCAAGACCAAGAAGCTAGCATATACGACGTCGTTTGGTTCTTCCCAAAGTTACTATTAATAAATGCTAATTAACATTTAACACAATAGAGCTAAGTGCTAACAACAACTAACAAAATATCCATTACCTTTATTGGACAAAATAATTAAAAAAAAAAAAAGAGAGAGAGAGAGAGAATAAAACAAGGAAAACACAAAAAGAGAGAAGGAGAGAAATTACCGCAACGGTGAGGCCACGAAAAACATCGAGTGAAACTAGACGCTGAGGTTTGATTTGAGGTTGAGGTTGAGGTTGTTTCTTGGAACTGGAACTGGAAGAGGTTGAGCGTTCCTCAATAATCTTGTTGGTGTTGTGAATGTTATGCCTTTTAGTTTCCCCATTGCTGAAAACAGTGGCAGATCTTGTTGATTTAGAGATCTGGTTGAGTGCCATCTCTACATCATCATCATTTTCATCTTCATCGAAGTTCTTGATAGCCTCGTAACTCTCCATCTCTCAAATTAATGCCTTTTGCTCCTTCCTTCCCTTGCTACCATCTACTTGTAAATATTCACATCAAACAATAAATAATAATAATAATATTCATAATAATAATATCAATAACAATCATTAGAATCTCTCTCTCTCTCTCTAAGAATTTGCAAGAAAGAAAGGATTATGCTTACAAGAACAAGTAATGCAATGCTTGGCACTGGTAGATGGAAGTGCCCAGAACTAGAAGACCCTTCCTTTTTCTCCCTTCTTTCTTGCACTTGTTCTTGCCTTTCTTTCCCTTCTTCCCACTTTTATAGGCAATTATGTGCCAGGCACCTAAACACTATTGATATTTTTGTGACCTTTTTCTTTATTATTTATTATTTATTATTTATTATCCCACAAAAATAGCTTCCTCGGATAAGATTATATAATTCCCCCCCTCTCTTTTTTTGGTAAAATGTAATTCCCTTTTAAATTAAAAGAAAAATATTATGAAAATTCAAAATTGCACTTAACTTGCTCCCATTTCTATTTTAAAATATAATACGGTTGATGCTTATGATTTCATTGATTGATGTGCGTCACATTAACGATTATCCTTCTTCCTTTGCGTTACCACGCTCATGTTACCTCCCCATAAACCACCAACGCGGGTCGTTATCTCAAAATATTATATTTTTTATTTATATTGTCTCTATTAAATATAGAACGGTTATTAAAAAAAATTTAAGGGAATTTAGTAAATCTATAATTAATTTTTTAGACTCTTGGCCCTTCTTTTCGGCCATTCTGACTTTCGAATTTTGATTTCGTTAACGTGTGTAACTGAAAACAACAACAACAACAAAAATAATAAGCTGTATCATATATCTGAATAAAGATTTTCTTTTTTTTGGATAAAATATAATTACTTAACTCTAAGATATGATTTATTTATTTTTTACTTTCGTTAAAGCACTTCTACAGGTTTACTGATTTTGATTAGCTATAGGTCAAGCTGATTTTGAGCCAGTCAAAATTATTCTGAGCTAGGAATTTGCTACCCCAAATCGAACCTAAGCTTGCTAAGATGGGCAAGTTAGGTGTTTAATTTAATTTTTAAAATTTTCCTTAAACTTTCAACGTTTATTTTATTCTTATGCGGGATTATTTTCTTGCATAATTTAAACTCTTTAATCACCCTTAATTTTTGTAAATTTAACTATTATAATTGTTGTTGAGGACAGTGGGTGAATAATCACCATTAGATTTGATTCCGTGCAACGAAAATGCTATAATTAAATCTACAATTAAAGTGCAATAAAAATAAGGAATGAACTCACATAATATATATAAAAGAGGGGTTCGCTTTTTCTGTAGTTATTGCAGATAAGCTACTGATGCTCTCCGGCAAGTATACCGATCGCACAAGGTAATATAGAAAGTAAGTAGAGTATCGTCTCCACAAGATTGTAAACCAAGTACTACAATAACCAGTCCCCTTAAGTTGGAAAACTCAGTTTGTTATTTGTAAAAATTGTGAATTGATTTTTTAGTAACAACAAGAAATAAAAGTAAAGACTTGTTTTTGAATTTTTATTTAATAGAAATAAAACAATAACAATGAGAATTGATTTGTAAAAACGAGAAAAGTATTGTAGTTAGAGCGCACTCACCTTATGATCCTCACTTCTTGCTTTGGATTGATTTACAACATTAATTTATAAAATTACTCGGATAAATTATTATCTAAAATAATTAGTTAAATCTCAATCCCTTGGCAATTTAACCCTTTAATCCCTAAGTGGAATCCTAATCTCTTAGCAACCCCTCATGAAAATTAAGCGATGAACTCTATAATTTAGGCATCCGCAATTCAATACACATCTATTCCTAGCATGCATACGAACCGTTATCCTACCCCCTTTCAGGATGAAAACCCCAATATCTCTATCTAGGGTTCTAACCCTCAGACTATTATCAACTATTAGAGTGATCAATTCTAATAAAGAAAATATCAAATACGAACAAGGTAGAGATAAAGATAATTATATAAACGATCAATTATAAATCAATCCGCGTAACAAGGGTTCACATAGGGTTTGTGACCCTAACCCTAACTACAATAAAAGAAAACTAGCCAAGCATAATCATGGCTAAAATAATCCAATATTCAAAAGCATAAAATTAAGGAGAAAAGAGAAGAAGAACTTGATCCCAGGAATCTCCTCAGAGCTCTGTCGTCGTCTCTCTTCAGAAGAATAGGTCTGAATACCTAATTCTGTCATATGGATCCTATTTATAATCCTCTTTTCTTCCTTCCAAAAATACCCCCACGGCAACACGGTATTATTTTCCCGCAACCCGGCGCCACTTCGCACCGCGCCTCTGTGCAAAATTGCAAAGTCGGAACCGAATATTCGTAACATGGCGCGAGTTGGCGCCATCCTTCACCTTTTGGGCGCCAACTCGCGCCACTTCTTCACTTCCTTGGCGCCATCTTGCGCCACTTTTGTGTGGAGTTGGCGTGGTGGCGCTAGTTTGCGCCATTCTGGCGCCAATTCCCTGGACTTTGGCCTATGCGACATGATGCAACATGAAACTTTCCTGTGTGCGGAGTCGCGTCAACAGGCTTTTTATAATTTGTAATTTTTCACTCCTTTTTTTCCGGTAAAAACACAACCAAAAGGTGAATATTATTGACATAGAAAGAATCAATATAAATAGCAAATATGTATTTAAATTGCTCTCTTATGACCCAATTCTTATCAATTTTAATACTGAAAAACCACACTTGCCAGAGGCACATCAATTACCTGCAGTAAGCCCAATACGACGTCATTTTGAGGCGAAAATCATGGTGTTTTTGTAATTTTAATTTATTTTAGGATTATAATTGTCTTTATATTTATAATTTTTTAAGATTTCAATACCAAAACGACGTCGTTTTGGGAATAAATGCAGATAACTTATCTGCATTAACTGTAGAAATATTTTTCCTATAAAAGAGATGTCAATATGTAAATAAATCTGAGACCAACATATGTTATTTCCTTAAGACAGTTTGTTTCCTCTATTGATGTCGAAGGTTGATAAACAATTGTCTCATAGGATGATAGAATGAATTGTGTCTAAAAAATGATGGCATTATCAATCAAGAGCCTTAATGAACACAACTGAACGTCCAGAGGCGAACCCAGGGGAGGGGCTAGGGTTGGCCACTGCCTCTCCCTGATTTTTAGATTATTTTTTCAATATATATATATGGGGAAAACATTTCTGCAGCCACTTTATATAAGGTTGTCTACAGCTACCCTTTTTAACTAAGTACGACCGGTCGTACATTAAAAGTGTATTTTCTCTCTCCGCCACGTCAGCCACAATGTCTGAAGAAAGAGAAAAAAAAGCAGCTTTACTGTTATAACTAAGTACGACCGGTCGTACTTAGTTAAAAAGGGATAGTTGTAGATAACCTTATCTAAAGTGGCTGTAGAAATACTTTTCCCTATATATATATGAGGCAGGATCATTTGACACTGGTGTCAAATTTATTTGAAATTTGACACATCATCTGAGAGCCGTTAGATCAAAAAAGATCAACGACTCTGATTTGTAAGCATGTGACACCATTGATCTTTTTTTATCTAACGGCTCTCAGATGAGGTGTCAAATTTCAAATTTGACACCGGTGTCGAAGGATCCTACCTCTCTATATATATAAATATAATTTTGGGATAAAAAAAATTAAATTTGGACTAAAAAATTAAGTTATTGGGCTAAAAGTTTCAAAAAAAAACTTAAACAAACACAAAACTTAGAGATTGAAATTGCAATTTCTCCAAATGAAGTAGTAAACTTTTAGGGCACAAGAAAAAATTCAAAATCGGGCACATCTGAAAAATCAATTATTTATCCTCTTATTGATAGAGTGATTAGACTTGTACTTATTGTCCCAATTTTTATGGCAACTACTGAAAGAGCTTTATCTGCCATGAAAATAATCATGACCAGACTTCGAAATCAAATGGAAGACCAATTTCTTAATGATTTTTTGATTACATATATTGAAAAATATTTTTTTTGAATTTTAGCACATATTCAATCATAGAAGAGTTTAACAATATGAAAAAATGTAGAGCAAGAGTTAAGTGAATTGACCTTGAATTTTGTAATAAAACTCTTTCAAACTTTTTATATTAGGTTCATATACGATTGTATGTACTTTTCTTTATAATAATTTTTTTTCGCCCCCCACTATAAAAAGTTTTGTCCGCCCCTGTGAACGTCTGAGGAATCACACTATCTAATACTATGGTATGGATGCACAATACATAAAAAAAACGTAAACTAAAATCCCGACTCTATATATTTATAGAAAACTTAAGGTCACGATTCAAAATGCACCTTTTCGTCGACGAAAAGACATATCCGTTCGACACGGAAAGACACATCCATATATTGGATCCAAAAAGACACATCCGTTCAACAATAAAAAGATACACCTTTTCATATCAAACTTCTTATTCATAACCTATGAAATTTAGACCAAAAAATTCAACAATAATTCACTAAGAATTAATAATTAGTTGATAAGTGTACCCTATAAATTATAACAGTTAGATTGACGAAAATCAATGATGATCAACTTAGCAATAAGAGTTGTAAAACTTTTTAGTAGTAAGTATAACCACCTCTTAAAAAAATTAATCAATTAAACCATGATTTTCATCATAAATTTAGGAGTTTTTATACTTATTTTACTAGGTTGTCAAGAGACAAGACCCAACACTAATTTTTTTTTGTGGTGAATTACACTCCTCTTCCCCGGGAGAGGCTTAAATCACTTCATTAATTCTATTTTGAGGAATTATCCGTTCCTCCATTGATATAGCAATATGTGCTACATTTTAATGTGTCTTAATGTGAATGAACATGCATCTAAAAAATAATATTCTTTCTTTGCTAATCTTAGCATCATTAATGGTTCATTTTGAACCCCTAATATTTCTTCTGGGATGTAGGACCTTAGAAGATGAAATGAAGGTTTTGAATAAAATTCCAAAACTGATAATAGATGTGTTTCTATCTTCATTTCATTTTCTAAAGTTTCAAAGTCGATAAAGATATTTTTAAAACTAAGTGCAAATGGCAATAAGAGTTGTAAGAAGAGAAAAAAAATGTTCTTATGAAACTTGTTCATTGTTGATCACTATTGCTATGCTCGTTAATTTACATTAAAATAAACTAAAATATAACACACTTAATCTCTCTTGAGGAGAATGTAATTTATTCAAATAACTAATAAAACCAAAATCGAACTATAATAA